CCTCCTTCTCCTCCTCCCCCTCCTCCTCCTCCTCCTCGGGTCGCCTACGGCCCCAGGGGAAACCGTCCACCCAAGCGTCAACGTCCCGAACCTTGCCCAGCCTCCCGCCGCGCGGGGTGGAGCGACTCCCTATCCGCCTGCAAAATCATGGCGTGCCGCCGGGCCGCCGCCGCGACACGCTGAGCAAAAGCTCCCGACCAGAACTTGTGAAAGTGATTCTGCAACCGAAGAAGAAACAACTGTGCAAACATCAACTTTGGGAGTTCTGGGCGGATCTGTTGGGTCTGCGCTGGCCCCCACTGTCGGCGCCTCTGGCGCTGTCCCTGGCGCGCTCCGCATGCCAGGAACGGGGGTCCAGCGCCGATCCAAAAAATCCGCGCGGACCTCTGACCATTTATCCATAAGTGCTTCGCCCCCTGCCGCCGGCCCCTTCTCTCCGATAATGGATCATGCAAGAGGTACGTCGTGAGGTCTGGGCGCTGTCTTGAAGCAGTGTCGGAACCTCATGCGAGGACGATAAGTAAGCGACAGGAAAGATGTATATTCAGATGATATTGATGAATTCGGCGTTGCATTTTGGACTTGCCTCCGCATGCTGTGCATTGGAGGCCCTCTTGGAAGGACTTGGGGCTGCTTGAGGCTAGAGTGGGCGAAATCGCGCGGCTGCGACGGTCTTCGGGCTCCTCGGCGTCTGTTGTAAGGGACTGAGGCCTCGGGGGCGCGAGTGCGCCGCATTTTATGAAGGAATCCTGGCCTTTGGGGCGCGAGTTTTTGGAAGTTACAAAGGGCTTATGGCCTCGGGGACGCACATATTGTATACTTTACGCTGGTTTGTGGCCTTGGGGACGCGACCACGGCGTAATTTCACGAGGGTTTATGATCTCGGCGAGTTTTGTATAGTTGATGTGGGTTTCAGGTTTGGGGGACGCGAACATTCCGTAACTTACGAGGGTTTCCGGCCTCGGGGACGCAAGCATTGCGTAATTTGCAAAGGTGTATGGCTTCGTGGACGTGAACATTGCGGAATGTAAAAGGGTTTATGGCCTCGGGGACGCAAGTTTGGTATATTCTAAGACAGGTTATGGCCTCGGGGGGCGCAAGTATTGCATAATTTACGAAGGTTATGGCCCCAGGGACGCGCGTGTTGTTTGATTTGCAAAGGTTTATGGCCTCGGGGACGCGAATATTGCGAAATTTACGAGGGATCGTGGCCTCGGAGGCGCGAGCCTCAAGTATTCTTACGTGGCCCAGGTTCCCCCAAGAAATTCAGAGAACCCTCCTTGGGGGTGGTAACCAGGGCAGTTTTTCAGCTCCAATTAGACAGTCTGTTAGACAATTCTGTAAGAGAATTCTGTTTGACAGTTCCGCGTCGTGTGAACGTACACGAGGCGAGTCGACAGTCTGTTAGACAATTCTGTTTGACAGTTCCGCGTCGTGTGAACGTTTGTTTCAGGCGTGTGTGCTGAACCTGGCATGCAGGTAAACCCAGCACACTCAGTGCGCGCCCGTGCGCGGTGTTGACGACTGTGCCCCCTCGGTCCTGCCCACTGGCTCGCGGAGGAAAAAAAAAATACTCCGACGGAAGAACCCCACATAAGAATCCTCTGGGCGAATCTGGAAAAAGCCATCACCGTCGTCCTCGTGGTTGGTGAGGCGTCCTGGCTGTCTCTTCTGCGTATATTTCCTCTCGCCTTGGCGCGGGCCCCCCTTCCACTCCTTACGTTGTCCCCATCCTCGCCCCCCTGTTTGTTCCGCGCCCCGCCACCTCCTCCCCTTCCTGTTGCATGAGCGCGCATGTCGATGTTCCTCGGCGCCGTCGCCGCCACGGCCAGCACAGGCGCGTTCTCTACAGGTCACGTCGCGCAGCCGTTGGGACAACCCCGCGGGCCAGGCTGTCGGGACAACCCCGCGAGCCGTTGGCGCGCAAGACCAAGCCGTTGGGACAACCCCGCGGGCTTCGAGCGAGGCGCAGCCGCGCTCAGGCGGAAGGCAGCACGAAGCCCAGCTCTGCCGCGAGCTGCTTCGCCTCCGCCCTGGACAAAACCGTTCTCTTGTCGAACTCCAGGAGCGCCTTCCGCAGGGACGCCGGCGGCCCGCACTCCAGGAACTCTCGCGGCGGCGGCCGCAGGATCAGCATGTTCCGCATGCACGTGGCGCGGGAGAACATGACGTAGAGGTGCAGCCACCACTGCTCGTCCGACATGCCCGTGCGGCCAGCGTCCTCGTCTCTCGCGCAGTCGATGGTGACGCCCTTGCGCAGCGTCTGGCCCTGCGACAGCGTGGAGGTCAGGTAGGACGCGTGCGTCAGGGTGAACCCCGAGCGGCGCACGCTGTGCGCCCCCGAGCTCTGCCATGTGAACTCCCTTTCGCTGGGCCTGAACATCAGCAAGCTCCGCGCCCGCGCCTCGGCCTGGCCGTCGTCGTCGGCGCCTTCGGCGCCCTGTCGCAGCACCTCGGCGACCTGAGGAGCCCAAAAACTTCCTTGTTGCATCCAAAGTGTGGCCTGGGAACTGCGTTCTGGCAGCGCGAGAACCCAACATTGACGACAGTTACAGGTTTTGGATGACCTGCTCGGATTACCAACATGATCTGCGGGCCCCATAGGGAGGGGGCTCCCGCCTGAGACTTCCTCGCAGTTCACTCACAGACGAGGCTCCCGCCTGAGACTTCCTCCATATTCAGGCTTGAGGAGCCCAAAAGTGACGACAGTTACAGGGTTCCGATGACCCGCTCGGATTACCAACATGATCTGCGGGCCCCATAGGGAGGGGGCTCCCGCCTGAGACTTCTTCACAATTCACTCAAAGACGAGGCTCCCGCCAGAGACTTCCTCCAAATTCAGGCTTGACGAGCCCAAAAGTGACGACAGTTACAGGGTTCCGATGACCCGCTCGGATTACCAACATGATCTGCGGGCCCCATAGGGAGGGGGCTCCCGCCTGAGACTTCCTCGCAGTTCACTCACAGACGAGGCTCCCGCCTGAGACTTCCTCCATATTCAGGCTTGAGGAGCCCAAAAGTGACGACAGTTACAGGGTTCCGATGACCCGCTCGGATTACCAACATGATCTGCGGGCCCCATAGGGAGGGGGCTCCCGCCTGAGACTTCTTCACAATTCACTCAAAGACGAGGCTCCCGCCAGAGACTTCCTCCAAATTCAGGCTTGACGAGCCCAAAAGTGACGACAGTTACAGGGTTCCGATGACCCGCTCGGATTACCAACATGATCTGCGGGCCCCATAGGGAGGGGGCTCCCGCTTGAGCCTTCCTCAGAATTCACTCACAGACGAGGCTCCCGCCTGAGACTTCCTCCATATTCAGGCTTGAGGAGCCCAAAAGTGACGACAGTTACAGGGTTCCGATGACCCGCTCGGATTACCAACATGATCTGCGGGCCCCATAGGGAGGGAGCTCCCGCCTGAGACTTCCTCCCAATTCACTCACAGACGAGGCTCCCGCCTGAGACTTCCTCCATTTTCAGGCCTGGGGAGCCCAAAAGTGACGACAGTTACAGGGTTCCGATGACCCGCTCGGATTACCAACATGATCTGCGGGCCCCATAGGGAGGGGGCTCCCGCCTGAGACTTCCTCACACTTTACTCAACGATGATGAGGATGAGGATGATGAGTGGTGGTGAAGATGAGTGGTGAAGAGGATGATGATTGATTGTGGGTGGTGGTGGCGATGATGATGTTTGAATGAGGATGATGCCGATACCGATGATGACGATGATGTTCGTGAGCGTGTGAGAGAGTGCGAGTGATGATGATGTGTGTGTGAATGAGTGCGAGGAGAAGAGGGGGTGAGTGTTCCTGCGCGGGGTGTCCAGAGAAAACAAGAACCCCACTTTGGATGTGGGGAAAAAGAAAAGTTTTCAGCTCCAATCACAGTAGGAGGCAATTACAGTTAGGAAGGAAACAGTTTCATTGCACAGCTAGGCAATCACAGTTGGGCAATTACAGTTTACAGTTAGGCAATAACAGTTTACAGCTCCATTACGCGCGGACGCTAACAATCTACAGTAGGATGCAGGCAAGAAATACTGTAACATTGGAAACTGGAAACTGGAGCTGGTGCAGGGTACAGCAGAGACTGGAAGCTGGAACTGGAGCAGGGAGCATCAATTCTAATCCTCGCAGCCGGGTGGCCCCGCAAAGGGGCTGGCGGATTCTTCTGCAGCGTTTTGTGTTTCTACGCAAGCTATTTGGAATTGTTTATCGGCATTTGTTGCGGCCCGTTCTCTCGCCAGAGCGGCAACCAGTGCACAAGAGTGCCACTCTCCGCCGGAGCTCAGCTCGATTTTAGCGCGGACTGCTGTGGCCACGGCTCCTCCGTAGCTCGAGCGAGAGATCGCAACGAGAGGCGAGGCTACCTTGGCTAGGGAAACGACTATGGGTGAAATGATAATGTAAGACGCTATGGACTTTGGGGATGGGTGGGGTAGATCCTTCCCTATATCTCAAACTCGCGGCACGCCGAGTATGTTCGGCAAGTCTGGATGCGCTCATGGCGCCGTTCCCAACATAATCAAAGTCAGTGTTGACTCCTGGATTCTTTTGATGGCGGAGGTGGGTCGAGAAGGAGGCAGGGGGACCAGCGCCGATCCAAGAGAACCGCGCGGACTTTCAGAAGTTTGTGTTTATGCGCTTATGCCGAATGTCCTACTAGACTCCAGGCCACCACGGGGGCCAGAGCGGAAAGCGTCGGAGGATCGCGCCGCATCGCCGATGCATCAGCGATGCGGCGCACTCTGGAGCCCGCTCTTCCCCATCCCGCCGTCGCCGATACATCTGCGACGCAGTGCGACTCTCCGACCCCGTTTCATCCGACCCCATTTGGGAGGCCTCCACTGTCGGCATGATGTAGTCTGGAGTCCGAAGCATGCCCCCCATCGCTTCCCCTCTCTCCTTTCCTTCACTTCCTCCTCGTCCTACTCCCCCGCGCTGCGGCGACGCCCACCACTACGACGACCACGACGACGCCCGCTTGCGCGCCGAGGGCGCCGTCGACGTCCCGCTTATCGCCGTTGACGGCGTCGAAGCTGTTGGTGCACCTGCTGGAGCCGTCGCCAGCAGCCTGGGGCCTGGACCTCTCTGCCCTCCTCGCCCTCGTCTCCGCCGTGTCCGGACGCGGCTCGGGCAGCGGGCCAGGATGGCTTCCAGGAAGGGCTCGGGGACCGTGCCTGGGCAGACGTGTTTGGGCGGCCAGGACCGCCTCTCTCCTCTCGGCGGGCGCCAGCTTCACACCTCCTCCAAGCCTGGCCATGCCCGCCCCAGGCCCAGGATCAGTGTAGACACTTTCTTCGGGATCGCCGACTTTGGTAGCAAAGCATGGGAGCCTTGTATACCCTCGTAATCCCGTCTTTAGCGTCGATTAGCGTCGATTCGCGTCTGGGAGTGGATGAGCTAGCGTCGGTCAGCGTCGGTTAGCGTCGATCAGCGTCGATTTTGCGTCGATTTTGCGTCGATCAGCATCGATTCAGCGTCGATTAGCGTCGATTCGCAAAAGCCGACAAGATGTTATTGGAGGCTCCCATGAGTTGCCACCTAAGCCGGAACAAGGGCCAGCGCTAACGGGGGTCAGTCAGGGCGCTGGCGCAACAGTTCTAAGTATGACCCGTGGGCGGGGCCGCTCGTAGACGCTCCTGCGATCTGCGTCAGAGGCCGCCCAGACCACGCCGGGGAGGGGCAGGGCGGGTGGGAGAACGGGTAAAGCCATCCCCGAAGGGGAGGAATGAGGATAGAAGCGAGGATCCGCTGAACTGGCTGCACCCACAGTTCGCGTGGTCCACTACCTACTACCTGCCTGCTGGTCCAGGCTCGTTCTCTGTAGAAATGTATGTGTTCAATGGAGCGATTCTCGAGCAGCAGGGAACTACGTGGTCATACACTGCCGGATGTCCGCGCGCATTTCTTGGGTCTGCGCTGGGGTCCTCTCCCCACACTTCCTGGCGGCGCCTCAGGCGCCGCCCCTGGCGCTCTCCGCGCGTTGGTGAAGGGGCGTGGGGAGGGCGGTCGGACGCCGACGTAAGAGATCAGCGAGGACCTGCGACACTTGTTGTTGATGTGTTAGTTGTCCCTCTGAGCTCAGAGACCCAGCGGGAATCTCTGCAGCCTTCTCCCCGTCCCCCTCGGGGAGGCACAGCAAAGCCACAGAGACGTCCAGACACCTCGACCCCTCGAACCTCGATCCCTTGAACCTCGACGCTCGAGAGGGAAGTCGAAGAAGAAACAACTGCATGAACATACGCTTTCGGAGCCCCGCGCGGGTCTTTGGGATCGGCGCGGCGGGCCCCCCCTGGCGGAGCCTCCGGCGCCCGCCCCATGGCGCGCTCCGCGCACCAGGGGGGGATCCCGCGCCAATCGAAGAAATCCGCGGAGAGCTCCGAAAGCCGATGCTGCTGTACGCAACCCAGAGCTGCATCACCTCGCGGGGAACCCTCTCCCCGTGCAGAAGAGAACGCATGGCCCCCAAGGACACGTGGGGGCGTGGCTCGTAGACGCCGGGGCGCCGTTTAGTCGCGGCACTCTTCGCCATGGCCAGGAGAGTCAAGTCAAGTAAGCCTTGCACCACAGGGTGCGTGAGCAGGGTGAGAAATTAGCCTGGCGAAGGACCCAACCATATGCAGTTGTGAGTGCCGCACTTGTAAGTACCGTCTTCGGTGGAGCTCCCTGTGGGGCCACGAACCTTTTGAGGGGTGCGCCGACATGAGGGTTGAGCTGCATGCGAACGCTGCTACTGGGGCCTTCGGTGGAGCTCCCTATGGGGCCACGAACCCTGTGAGGGGTGCGCCGAAATGAGGGTGGAGCTGCATGCGAACGCTGCCACTGGGGCCTTCGGTGGAGCTCCCTATGGGGCCACGAACCCTGTGAGGGGTGCGCCGAAATGAGGGTGGAACTGCATGCGAACGCTGCCACTGGGGCCTTCGGTGGAGCTCCCTATGGGGCCACGAACCCTGTGAGGGGTGCGCCGAAATGAGGGTGGAACTGCATGCGAACGCTGCCACTGGGGCCTTCGGTGGAGCTCCCTATGGGGCCACGAACCCTGTGAGGGGTGCGCCGAAATGAGGGTGGAACTGCATGCGAACGCTGCCACTGGGGCCTTCGGTGGAGCTCCCTATGGGGCCACGAACCCTGTGAGGGGTGCGCCGAAATGAGGGTGGAACTGCATGCGAACGCTGCCACTGGGGCCTTCGGTGGAGCTCCCTATGGGGCCACGAACCCTGTGAGGGGTGCGCCGAAATGAGGGTGGAACTGCATGCGAACGCTGCCACTGGGGCCTTCGGTGGAGCTCCCTATGGGGCCACGAACCCTGTGAGGGGTGCGCCGACATGAGGGTGGAACTGAATGCGAACGCTGCCACTGGGGCCTTCGGTGGAGCTCCCTATGGGGCCACGAACCCTGTGAGGGGTGCGCCGCAATGAGGGTGGAACTGCATGCGAACGCTGCCACTGGGGCCTTCGGTGGTACCCTGTGCGGGGTGCGCCGAAATGAGGGTGGAACTACATGCGAACGCTGCCACTGGGGCCTTCGGTGGAGCTCCCTATGGGGCCACGAACCCTGTGAGGGGTGCGCCGACATGAGGGTGGAACTGCATGCGAACGCTGCCACTGGGGCCTTCGGTGGAGCTCCTATGGGGCCACGAACTCTATGAGGCGTTCGCCGAAATGGGATGGACATGCGGAGAGCAGAGGCAAGGATGGGAAGCAGGAGGGAGGAGGAGGAGGAGGAGGAGGAGGAGGAGGAGGAGGAGGAGGAAGTGGAGGAGGAGGAGGAGGAGGAGGAGGAGGAGGAGGAGGAGGTGGAGGCGGGAGGGACGCAATGCGCTGTCTCTTCAAAATGATCACCCAATGCTACAGGATGGTTGGGAAAAGCACACATGCAAGCAATGCAACCATAATGCCTTCAGCATCCGGCCCACGCCTTCACCGTGCGCCCCCACGCTCGCACTGCACCGCCCTCTGGGCGGAAGTAGGCAGCGAGCCATTCGCGGGAGCCTGCGACCTTGAGACAATTATTCCACACTAAATGGCTCTAAGTTTGCCTCGGTCTGCCCCGCTTTCTCGGGCCAGGCGCCTTCCGCAGCTCCAGGGTGCCCGGCTCAAACACCGAGCGCCGCACAGGATCTAAGCTGATTTGCCGTCTCGCGTGGCAATCGCTGAGCTTCGGCGGCTCGACCATGGCGGGTACAGTAGCGTTCGAGACTCTGCTGATGTAGGTTGGGGGTACTCTGCAAATCTTCCTGATGCACCAGTTCTGGGAACTGTCCAGCCAGCCTTCGACTTTCTGCTTGGTGAAGGCACGCAGCAAAGAGGGAATACATTAATTTGGACACCACGCAGTCATTCAAAACGTGTATCTTCTTGTATACGGAAAGAGAAGGGCAAGACTAGATCGCGTGAAGCTTCTTGAAGTCTTGCATTGCTGCTTCAAGTCTGCGGCTCAACTCAGAGGCGCGCCTCCCGTCGGCAGACAGCGCCGTGCCCAGGTTCGCGAGGGACCGTTAGTTGAGACCGGGCGTGCCAGCGTTGTCCACGATGTCCTCCTCTGTCCACACCTTCATTATCTCCATTTTATTCCAGTTGAAGAGGAGGCCGTAATTCACCCCAAACTTCTCAACGGAGGTCATCAGTTCTTGGACTGCCCCTGCTTCCACGCCCATCAGCAAGGTCCACGTCCACGTACACCAGATCACGTAGCAACTCCTGTGGAACCTGTCCACCTCGTCGCTCCCGCAGTTCCTTGTTTGCCTCGTGAAGAAGCGTGGTCATCACGATTGTGAACAAGAATGGCGACAGCGGGTACCCTTGGCATATGCCGTCTGTTTGCACCCTCTCCTGCGACGTGACGCCGAAGTCGTCGACCACGAACCCGCGGTCCTCATAGATGGCAGCGACCATGTTTACAAACCCGCTTGGGCATCCAAGCCTTCCTTCGTAGAGAATTAGCAAGTGCCTCCGGGGACATGGAGTCGAAGGCTTTCGCCCAGTCCAACGCCAAGAAGACAGTCTTGCCATCTCGAGAAGATCACGTCTCTTCGAGAACTCGCCGGGCGATGAAGATCGCATTTGCTGTGCCGTAGTTTGATCGAAATCCGAATGGCGTGTTCCAAATGCGCTGCTCTGCGCCAGCGTCTTTCAGGCTATGCAGCAGCACAAACGCAAACATCTTGTATCGTATCGGCAAGAGGCTGATCGGGCGGTAATTTTTGCAGTCCGCAGGGTCGCTCTTCTTGTAAATCATTCTCATCTTCGGCTTGTGCCAAGCATCGGGGACGCGCCCCGTCTCCCATACCACTATGCAGAAGCGAGTGATCCACTGAAGCGTCGGGGTGCCGTCCTCGCATGCTGCTCGCCAGAACTCCAGCGGTATGTTGTCCATTCCACCAGCTTTGCCTTGTTTGAGGTCACGTGCTGCTTTGCTCACTTCTGCGTCTGTGATGGCACCGGGGACGATCGGCAGCTTGTTCTCGTTTAGGGCGTCCGTTGGCACTGCCGTCGTAGGCTTCACGGTCCATTGCACCCTCTCAAAGTGCGCGGCCAGAGCGTCTGCCCTGTTGTCGCTGTCCATGAGCTGGCTGGCCCCATTCTTGAGTCTACCTTGCTGCGGGCAGAATCCTTTCCGGAGCTTTCTGATCTCGCCCCGGTCCCCTCTGGCCGTCAGCCCCTGCAGCCAGGCAGCCCTGGCACATGCGACCGCTCTTCTGATTTCTTTCGCCAAAAGCTTCTCTTCTGTCCTGTCCCCCCTCCGTCTGGCAACCGCTTGACGATCTATGATGTCCAGGGTTCGAGGCCGCGTCCACGGCTTCCTCGGGCGTCTCGTTTGCCGCGGGAGGGTCGTGTCCCGAGCGTGCAAGAATCCAGCTGCGAGCTGGCTCCACGCTAGATTCACGTCGTCGTGGTCTTGCGTCGGGCAAAATCCTCCAGCGCGTCCGCGAACTGATGGGTGAAGCTATGCTTGATGCTGGCAGATTTCAACTGTGATGCATCTGCCCCCTGCCAGCCTCGCCCCTGGGAGGGGCCTTGTCCACCGTCGCGTGGACGCGCGCCTCCAGCAAGAAAGGCTGCGACGAAAGCGGCCTGTCCCGGCGGACGCCCATTCCGAGCACGTTATGAGACCAAGACTGGGCAAACAGCAAAAAAACAATTTGGGAATGAGTGTTCCAGTTCACTTCTTCGCCTGCGCGGCGTCCCACGTTGTAGCTCGTGGCCATCGGTTCTTGTGAAGACGCGAAGAATGTGTTCGAAATGCACATGCCGAATTGCGTGCACATCTCCACCATGAGGTGCCTGTTCGCATCGGCTTTGCAGCGCCAGTGCCCTCCCCCAGGACGTCCGCGCTTTTTTCTCCTCCACGTGCGGGTGTTCGAGGTTGACTTCCACAAGCTGCCTGAACTCGGCCAGCGCTGAATGGTCCTCGATGTGAGGCAGCGGCGATCGTTCAAGACTGAACGATCCCTCGGTGACGACCACGAGGAGGAGGAGGAGGACGACGACGACGACGAGGGTCGTGCCTCCGTTCCTCTTCTGCTCGAAGCTCGATGGGAGAGGGCCTGCTCTCTCTCCGCCTCTGTGGGCATGCTGCCGGCCGAGGCAAGCCGGGCAAGTGGGAGAGCCCCAGGAGCGCCAAGGAGCGCATACGCCGGAGGAGACCCCGGGCGCCCCGCTCCTGCAGCCCGTGGCCCTCGTCGTCGTCGTCGTCGTCGTGGTGGTGATGGTGGTGGTGGTCGTCGTCGCCGTCGTTTTGTCGTCGTCCGTCGCGCGTCGTTGGTCGTCGCGTCGTGGTCTCAGGGAGGAGAAGGGTTCGGTAGAATTTGGATGGGTACAGAGGATGGGCACGAGACGAGGACCTCCAGCGGGTCCCGTTCCTTTTGAGCAGGGCTCGCTGTCGGTACCGCCGTGGACGGTGTCCATTTGAGACAGAGAGGCGTAAGCCCAGCAGCGGCCGCGGTTGTTTTTGGACAACATTAGTTGTTTGACATCGTACATATTTTTTTGCGTACCCATATCGGGCGTCCGAATCGTTCGTTGTTTTCGTCGTCGTTTCAAAGGAAGGGGAGGTACGGCACGGCTGCGGAATCCCCAGGGCCTATTTTGAGCCAATCGTATCTCGAAGAAGAAACAAAGCATTTTCCACGGTCCGCGCTGTTTTTTTGGATTGCGCCTGGCCTCCTTGGGGGCGCCTCCAGCGCCGCTCCTGGCGCGCTCCGCGCGCTAGGGAGGGGTCCAGCGCAGATCCAAGAAATCGGCGCGGACCGTAGACAGTTTATGTTTAAATTTGTGTTAGCGGTTAGCAGCAGTCTGGGATGAAAGTCGAACGCCGCTCTCAATCGCTCTGCTCGAGAATCGGCCTTGACGTGTATTTGTCGAACTGCTTGGGCTGCTTGGGCACACCAACCACGCAATTGCGCCCCTCGACGAGCTGGGGGCTTTACTTCCGACAGGTCCCGAAAGCAGGCAGGGGGAAGAGGAGTGTTAAAGCGGAACAGAGAGAAAGAGAGAGAGAGAGAGAGAGAAAGAGAGAGAGAGAGAGAGAACAAGGGGAGAGAGAGAGAGAAATGGAAACGATGGAGGAGGATGGAATCAAGGGGACTCGAGGGGGTGGGGGAGTAAACAACACCTACTGGGAAACAGGGAGCAGGAGGAGGTGGATGAGGAGGGAGGGGAGGAGGCGGAGGAGGAGGAAATTGAGAGGGGGAGGATGAGGAAACTCAGAGGAGGGAGGAGCAGGAGGAGGAGGAAGAGGAATCAACATACTAGTAGTAATCGCAATTCTAAGGATAATGCTAATAACATAAGAAGAGAAGTATTTGTAACAGACGCCAGGTGTTGCGGCATAGCTGGCATAGCTCACTTTGTACTATAGAGTCGGCCGCTTACAGTAGAACAGAGCTCAGTCCTTATTACCATCGGTCTGTTCGATTTGCATGGTGGCGGAACGAGGTTATGGCCACGAGAGCCGATACAGCAACACCTACCACGCGACAACAATGGATAGAGTACAACCTCGCCAAGTTTTGGCTTCATTGTCTCACCGCTTGCAACCAAGGTGAGCCCGAGTTCGTCGAATCTGGCCTGCAGGCAAACCATGTCGCAACGACGGGCTACCTCGAATATCAAGACCACACGGGTACCGAAGACTTGCCCGGCGAGCACGCGATGTCATTGATGAGGATGTTTGTCAAATCTAACGCAGCATTGCTGAGCACCACCAGTTGTGAAAACAAATGCGACTTGGAAGCCACGCGAGTGAAACCGCGAGTGGTTGAGTTGAGCAAAGGGTCGGGGACAGGAAGGTGAACGCACGTGCGATTTGATTGATTTGCTACAGGCAAAACGCATTACAGGTCCGTGAGCGAATGAACGACGATTTAACTTCTAGAGAGCTCCAGCGCAGGCCAGGCGGAAGCTCGAGAAAGTGGAGTGACTGATTGCTTCACGGTTTGGCACACGTCAGCCGTGGGACCCCTGATGTTTTCAAACGGCTAAGTTGAATTTTGGGAACAATGGGCAGGAGAGTGCCGGATGTCGGCGAACAAGGTGATAAGTTAAGAACCATCTCGGGGTAATGGCGGCGTCGGAGTACAACGAGACATCACCAGAGAAGAAGAAGGAATCAACTGAACGTAGTGATGAAGACGTTCTGGACGCAGATGCGATCCACAAGTTGGGTGAGGAATTATGGTGCGTCCCAACCGACAAAGAGCAAAGCGTTAGGGCACGGGGCACGCTTCGTGGCCTTAAGGAAGGGGAATGGCTGCTTGCATTCATGCGTGAAGATCTACAAGGCCAGTAATGGGGGTGGCACTATTGGCCAATGTGAAGTCAGCCATGAACCCCATACAGACCCAAGGAGGTCAGTGACGCATCGGTTCAACTTGAGCAGTGGGGTGCCTTGGTAGAGACGCTTGATAAATACGGCATATGTTATGAACTGCTTTGACCCTTCAAACCGACAGCGCTGGACAACATTATGAATCACGCCAAGGCATGGTCTGATGACTGGCTGCGGAGCTGTTTCAAGCCACCCGTCTCCTTAACCAGCGATTCGCGCCAAAAGCTGTATTTTGGGCGCGAGGACTGGGCTCGGGAGAAGCAGCGATTGGACGCGGAGGAAAAGAACAACGGGGCAATGGACGTCGGGGGAGTCGGGGAAGAGGAGGAGCACCGCCTGGGTGGAGTGGTGATCGAGGTTAGGGTGAAATAGATGTGGATGCATTAGTAAGTGCGAACGCAAAAGGAATGTGGCATGGTGTCGGCGCGAAACAGAATGGACCGCGTGGCAAGAAAGAGACTGCAAGATATTGCACAGTCAAAGGTAAGGGTTAGAGGATCAGCAAAGGAGCATTGCGCCCAGGCTGGCAGGAGGGATGCAACAAGGGCAACTACTGCAACAAGGGAGTTGACAAACAGTCTGAACTACTAGGTGATAAGCCTGGAGGCAAGGGCCATGTGCCCATGAGCGAGCGCGAATGCTACAAGCGCGGCCAAAAGGGCCACTTCGAGGCCAACTGCGCCAAGGGAACCAACGAAGTCGGACCGGCGAGCAACGTGCAGGGGGCACATGGCGCGGGCGGCCTCAGCTGGAGATGGACCCTGTATGTTGCCCCGCCATTGTGGGGGTGCCGGGTGCGCCTGGGGCGCAGTGGGAAACGCTGGCCAGAAGAAGAAACTGTCGCGTGCAATGATGCAGCTCATCACGCGCCAAGTAATGACGTGCCAGAAATATAGCCACTGTGGGGCCCTTGGCTGGTAAAACAGTCACTGAGCAGGTGACCGCGGATTGGTTGAGGTAGCCCGCGAAAGAGAGGAAGCGAGCGCCGCCCCGAAATACTGTGCATCATTGAACGTGGAGACTGGTGGTTATGTTGATTCGGGGGCGTATAGCGCAGTTTGGCCGCTGAATGTTGGCGCTCATTTCCAGCGAAACAGACGGAAGCCTCGGAAAGTGGTCGTCGTTGCCGCGTTGCCAATGGGGCCACGTAAAGAAGCCGTAGACAGAGAACAATCGTTGGACACAGTTGAAGTGGGCGACGGGGTCGCGACGCCCACGGGAAATGCCGACCGAAGGAAAGCAGTGGGATCGGCATGTTAAATGGTGGGAGCAGGTAGCGAGATCGTCTTTGGTCGGGGCGTGCGTGGCTGGGCGCGCGGTTACCTCGGACGCGAAGCCTCTGGCACGAGAACGGCAGTGTACGAGCGTGGCGGGGAGTTCCCATTCGCAACCGAGCCCCTGGAGGACAGGGGGAAACGCCGGCGCCGCCTGTGGGCGAGGCGGTGGGATGGATTTTCTGAGGCAGGGGTTCCTTCGGGAGAGCCTTTCTCATTCGGCCCCGTGAGACGCGGTGGGCCTGTGGGAAGCATTGACAGTGGGAGCGCTGGGGGCCAGAATTAACGCGAGGAGGGAATCGGGGGCGACGGCGGCAAGCCAGGATGCCGAACAAGTTCAGAGAGCGACATGCGAGCTTCGCCCTGGCAAAGCAGACGTAGATGACCGCGATGTCCTCCATTTTGCCGCGTAGCTACTGGCACCCTCGCAGCGCGCGCGGCAGAGCCAAGAGAAGGGCGCGCAAATAAGAGACAGGACTAACCCGGATGAAATGCCCGCGGCCCCATCTGACTGCGCGCGGATGGCAGAAGACAGTTTGGTGAACGTGTGGTGCCAGACGAGCCAGTGCAGGCAATTCGTTGCCGGGGTGCCAATTGTATATGGAGTAGAGGGGGTATCGAGAAAAGAGTGGGCAGTTGTTCTTCCGCTGTTACGGGGGGCGCGATGTCGTTCGCCAGGCGCAGGGCCATTCTTCTCAAGAGCGGCGGTGCATCCTCCACAGCCGCGCATAGGGAAGCCGTGGGATCCCCCGCGTCGATCGCAGTGACATTTGAAATCTGCCCTGTCGTAGATTCAGCGGCTGACGGATTTCGAGGGCGGTGAGAACGGTTCAGAGTCAAGTGGGAACTTTCCTGGGCAGTGGGCGCGTACTTTGAGATCGAGCTCGCCGAGGGTCGCCATCTACTGCCCGGGATGGTGTCATCTGCGTCTTCCTTCATCGACGAATTCCTTGTCAGCATGGGCGGTCAAATCGCAAGTCCGCGGCGCCGTGGACGCAAGTTCAACGCGACGTTGCCGGAGTTTGGAGAACGCGTCGTTTATGTCAGAACTGGAGCCAAGGGGGGGCGCAAGTTGGAGCTTGAATGGGGGGGTGAGTATTCCTAGACATGTTACTCGGCGGAAGCCAAGGGGGAATCAGACCACCAGAGCATCGCCGCACATGCAGCGATGAGGAAAGGTGGTGTTTTGAGGGCGTGAATGCCGCGGGGGGCTTGTTTCTCAGCTAGCGAGTCGCAGTCCGTTGTGATTGTGTCCACGTCTCCTTTGCCAGTGGAATCCGAGAGCCCTGGGTCGGCTCCATGTCAGTGGTGTAGCTGTACAAATTCGGAATATCTCCAATGGGGGCCGCGACAGGATGCCGGGGGTGCCGCGCCATTTCTAGGGGGTCTAGGGGGGCAATGACCGCAGACCTCGCAGCATTGAGTGTAGAGCAAGAGCCATCGAGTGGTTGAAGTCACAAGAATGTTACAGAGCACGCGCCAGGTTGTCCTTGGCCCGGCTAAGATTTGACGTGGCTGCCAAAGATGAGCTAGAGAAGC